TTTTTGATGTCTCTTTTTAAAGCTTTTGCTATTCCGGCCAAGGGAAAGGAAATTAAGCTGCCTATATCCACGAAGGCTGAGCAAAAACTGGGGGTGCTAGGGAGGAGTCCCGTGGAGGAGGAGGAGCGTCCTCTCAATTAAAGCCCAGCCTATCAGACGAGCGACAAAAGCATCATCCCAATCAATGGATGCTCTGAACAGCTCAACTGGAGAAGTGCTTGTTTACAAATATATAAATTCTTGGTTGCTTGAAATGGTTCAGAATTAGCCTGTGCATTCATTTACTTTACTAACTATGAAAGATGATTTACTAGACCTCACTGTTGCATCTTCATAAACTTCCAAATAGTCATCTCCAAATAATTTTGGAGAAGCATAACGATTTGTCTCATAATGGTTTGCTCTGCTTGTGACCAACATTAGCCAGTTTCTTCAGAAAGTTAGGTTGCTTTGCCAACCAGATTACTGAACTGTTAGTGGTAAGTCTCCTAACTTTCAATCATGATGAGATGCAGTTATATCTGGTAATCAATAGGTTTCCCACTCCTGGGACATACAAAAAAATGTTTTCCTCTGACAAGTGATTTTTGCAGAAATACTGCATGTTTGTTATACAGAATACTCCTTCTAGATATATCAATCACATTCAATCATTAAAATTAATATTAACTTTTTTCCAAAGAAAATCACTGTAAAACAGAGATATGAAAGCCTTGTAAAGAACTGACAACCACGACTTTCTCAGCATCAAGGCATTTTGTATCAGAATGAATGAATGAATGAATGAATGAATGAATGAATGAATGTCAGACTGCAAGTTGGGATACAAAGGCATATTCCCATGAATTACTTCAACCCCTCTCTGGGGGCAACAGAAAAGGCAGTCTTTTAAAATAAAGGGGTCTGTTCCCCATAGAGTCTGATTCAAATTTAAAATCTCTTAAGAAGCTGGAGAAATCCAGTGAAGTAAATTGGGAATCCTTATTCCAGGAAGCTTGTATTTTTATAGATTCAGGTAAAACATACAGCTGGGAATATGCAATAAGATTTTGATTTATGATTTCTGGTGGTGCTAAGTCTCACATTGCCATGCCTCTATACCATTATGAAAAAAACTGCTTAAATGCTGCCTACATTTCTACTTCTTGCTTATATTCCTGAAGTTATACTTTCTTTCTTTATAATTTCTTGAGGTCTGTAAAAGTCATTTGAAATAAAAGTAAATTGAAAATATGCATTTGAGGGTTCTAATAGGAAGCACTTCACTTGCACTTTATTTTATATTTTTTCTTGCCCCTTCATGCCTACATTTTAATATTTTTTTACTTTTAGATTGTATTTTTTTAAAAAATCTCCTGCAGGCCCAATGGGATTATGACTGCCATCATTAAGTGATATGGTTATAAAGTGTGACATCACTTGACTTTACAGCCCAATGATGGCTGTCCCAGTTGTTGTTGTAACTCCAGGACTGTGAAGGTCACTGTACTATTTAAAAAAGCAGACATCATCTGCAACAATTACAAACTTTCCAAAGTAAACATAATTTTGATCTAAGCGGTGTAATGTTGTAACAGAATGGCTCCTTCTCAGTGAATTTCTTGAAAAAAAAAACCACAATATATATACAGATGCTTATAGAAATTAGTGTTTAGAATGTGCATAATCCTTGTTTTTATCAAATTTGTCCAATATAAAAGAGATGTTCCTTCCAATCATTTAAAAAAAACAGGCAATATATTTATATTTTAAAAAACAAACCCAAGTTAGCACAAAATGAAGTGAGCTTATTCAAGTATACTACACTGATGTATCTCTTTCCCAGGAAGCAATCCCTGTACTGTACTTGGGTTTCTGTAGTATTGTAATTCTAAAACATTTAGTGAGTGGAAAATTCCCTACCATTTAGGACCAGAACTATTTTTAAAAAGGAAAAGGAAAATAGAATAACTGGGAAATGGCTATGAAAGTCTGTATCACAATACTCTCCCAATATATTATTCCTAATTTGTCCTAATGCATTTGGAAAGGCTTTTAATACGTATCTGTTAGTGAAAGAAAATAACATATACTCCCAAATTTGATATTTCATTCTTCTCTGAATAATTTCCAGTAAGCCCTCTGTCTTTCAACTTCCACCTTGCATTATAATTCCAGAGAACACAGGTGATGTGTGATGTCATAAAGTTTGGTTGCAAGCTTATACTTGAACAAATTTGCATCTAAGAAGAATTGTGCTGAATTAACTCTGAGGTGATGACTTAGTTTTTCAGTTATGCTGTATTTGTTATAGAGAGCAGCTCCGTCATTCATTTTCATTCTGTCATCATATTGACTTTTTCTAAGATCCTTCTAAACTTGTGATCTATACATTATCGATCTTAGGGGAAAAATGATTTTCCACTGATGCCTACCGTGTTTCTCAGAAAATAAGGCCCCACCGCCATGGTTCTCAGAAAACAAGGCTCCACCGCCACTGAGGCCGACATCCACACCGCCGCTGCCACCTGCCCGCTGACCCGGCCTGCACCCAGCACCATACCCGGGTCTGAAGCAAAGGCATTTGGCGAGGGTAGGGAGCTCTCCGCGCTCTGCCATGATCGACCGTTAGAAGCGGCTGGTGGCAAGGCGTGGCTGTCTGCGGGGTGCTCCTAACGGCAAGCCCCCCCCCATTTCACATGTTTTAAACTAGTCCTAAATTTGGGGGGAGGGGCTTAATTTCACCTTATGCATGCTGGGTCTTCCTATTCGGGGGGGGGCGTATTGTTGGAGAAACACGGTAGTATTTTGGGCTTTGTGCTGCACTCATTGATTAAAGAGGAAGTAAGAGGAAAGCCAGATAAATTTGCCTGCATGACAGGAACCTAATTGATAGGAAACTTTATCCTCAGTTCAGAAATTAGCATTATATACCTTGCAATATCCCAATTTCTCCAAAATCTGGACTATAATTTAGTAAAAATGGAAAGCTTCTCACTGTTTTGAGATAATATTTGCTGCAAAAATGATCCTATTTTGTGCTAATTTTCTACTATTGAGCAAAGAATAGGATACACCAGGATAGGTTGCAAATCAGACAGATGCCTAATTAAGATGCTAAATTTTGAGGAAATAAATAAATATTTATATAATTATTAATCTAATTTGTATTGTTGTCTATCTCACAAAAAACAACTCTAGGTGGTGTACAACAACCTGATAAAACCAGACATATGTAAACAGTCATTATAAAAATAAAAGAATCAGTATTAAAAAATACTATTAACAGCATAACATACAAACTCTGGCCTAGGCAGAGAGAGAATGAGAAATATCCACCTCAGTAGTGGAGCCATTTAGACATGTCTTCGGTTCCCTGTGATTCCCAGGTTTGGTGACATAACCAGATCTTGAGGGACAGCAAGAGGAATTGGGCTAATATAATTTTGGGGAAAAAATGTTCCATAAAGTGGCACTGACCAAATGAACATTCCTAGCTGATGGCACAAAACAAACATATATTTTGGGATGCCTTGTTTTATTAGGAGTGCCATTGGATAGCAGAATAAAAGTTCTTTGTGAATGGATTAAAGGTAAATGTGAAAGATAGAGGGAAGGAAGAAAAATAAGATTCTATAAAAGTAATCAGTCCTTAAAACATCTAGCTAGAAGCCAGTCACTAAATGTCTTACATTCTTTGAAGACAGAAGCTGGAAAACTCTAAAATGAGCAAATATCTAACTATGTCAGTTTCTCTCCAGCTTCCATTTTTGAAGACATCAAGACTGAACTATGTGATAATCTGATTACAAAGACCACTCTGATCCAAGGACAGACCTGCCAAGTTTTTCTCCTCCTCTCCAGAACAAAGTATTTTAGAATACTAAGACTAGCCTAAAGGTTGAATCTAAACAAAATTGTTTCACCCTTTTGATGGGTAATTTCTTCCTTTCTATCCAGCTTCCAAAATTTTATCCAAATCACTATTTCACAACACTTTGAATTGGTAATTGGAAAAATTAGAGGCACTGATATCACCTCAAATAGGTTTTCAAAAAGTCCTGAATCAATTCATTCCTCTATGTTTTTAATGTTTGTAACAATGTGGTACATGAACCTACTGTTTCTTTTAAAACCAATCATTAGATTGTAGCTTTTTACTCAAAGAGCAGCACAGAGAACTTACTTCCTCTATATAGTTTCATTTTGAGCACTGTGTTGGGAAAGAAAAAAAAATTAAAAACAGCAGTTTTCTGCATGATTAATGTTATTAATCCATCTTTTAAGAGGCCACCTCCCTGCTATAAAACTTGAGCAAGTAACAGCACTAGATGTCCAAAAATGTTGGCTGATTTTCATATTGTCAGTATCCATTTCAATAGAATAGTTGAGTGAAAAACACTGTTTGAAGCGGCCCTAAAGCCACTTCACAATCACAAAGCAAACAGCACAACTAACTTTGCACAACATGGTTTTTACTTAGTGCAACCCCAGCTGACAAAGTACAGCTCATTGAGCTACTTCCTGTAAGGCTTAAAAGGTTGAGCTTATATACAGAGGCATCCGAAGAAAGAAGAGTGGATGGGGGAGTAGTTGTTCCCATTTTGACCTGAGTGACTAGGATTCTAGACACGTCCTTGCTATAAAACTAAATAATTCCTTGCCTCCTCCCAAAAAAGCTTAATCATATTTATGTCACCAGGCCTTAAGAAGCATACCAAGTTGATTTTGTAGAAAAAGCCTGGAGTCCATTGTTTTTAAACTGAAAAAGTAATCTATGTAAAATATATATATTTAAAAGATTCCAAATGTCATTAGTTTCTTCTTCTCATTTAGTGTTGTACTAGCTAAGGTTAGAGCTATTTACAAGTCTTCCCTATCCAGCAAGCAATGTTTACAGAAAACAAGCACCATTTTTCAGAACTGGATGAATAAATACCTCCTCAATATTTTAGACAAGAACAATGTGATACCCACAGAGGAAGTTAATAAACAGTAAGGAAATAAAAAAGAAAACTAACTGCTCTAGAAGGATCACCAAAGTCAATCTGCAGGTTACCCATGGCTTTGATTATAGCCATGATGGATTGGATGGTGTTGCTGTAAACCACTGCTTTGTATTGTCGGCACTCCTCTTCTGAATATCCATCTTCATGGATAATCCTGGAAAGGAACAGAAGATTTTTTTTAAAAAATCAGTGTATTATGTATCGACAAAGGATTTAACATTATTTTGTAAAAAATACTTCATTAAAGACTCTTTGCTATAATGTAATGTCACTAATATGAAATGAGTTTGCCTTCTGCTTTTGCCCATTCCTGAGCTAACCCACAATTAGTGACAAGAATATGCATGAGACTATGTACAAGGCGGTATCAACAATATGCTAATGCTACCCAGTTGAACATTTCCGCCAAGGGTCCAAAGTGAAGTTGTTGAGGTTCTGTCCCAGTATCTGGAGGTTGTGAGGGTTAGGATGGAGAAGAACAATCTAATAATTGAGGCTTAATACTGCCAACACTAAGCAGTGATGGGTTGTGAGTTGTGCATATCCAGGAACTGGAATGTTGTCATGTTTGGTTCTGAACAGTGTGACACTTCCCCTTTCAGACTTAGTGCAGAATCTGAGGGTTCACTTGTATTCACAGTTCTTAGTCAAAGAGTAGGGGGCAGCTGAGGTTGCTGGGCCTTTGTACAACTGTGAAAAGAGAACTCCACCATATGGTACAATAGCACAGCGAACATTTCACTTTTCCACTTTAAAGCTTCCACAGTTCACATCAGCCCTCAGTTCTATTTCCTGCAGTCCCCAGAGGCCCTCAGGTTCATGTTTGTGAAATTCAGTAACAAATTACCAAACATCAGCAACGTAATTTTCCTCTGTTTTCTGGTAGAAAACAATACAGTGGCTTAACTTTTAAAATGTTTAGCGTATTTATAAAGCAAAAAAAGCCAGAAAACCTCAAAAATGAAGGAAAAGTGGAAACATTTACTGATCATGGTAAAACAACTGGACAACTTAATGGTTCTTAAGTGTTAAAAACAAGTCTTTTTTTTAAAAAAAACAACGTGTTAAGCCTCTGGCTAATGTAAAGCAAGAGGAAAACAATGGTTTTAATTGTCTTTGATAAAGCAGGATTACTCAAATTTGCAAAGAATGCTAAACATTACGGGGATATTAACATCTTCCATTTAAACTTCCTAGGAACTAGAATAGCAAGGCATGTTATCAATGCAGATATTACCTAGTCATCATGGATAACAGAAGTTCGATTAATTATAACTAGCACTCAATTTTAGAGAAAATTTATCTAATTTTCTAAAGTCATCTTCTGGCAGTGAATACCTAAGTGGAAAACTACTGTATTTCCCAGATCTCCCATCAATTAGCTTTATTGGATCAACCTTTCTTTTACTTAAAGCATTCAAATACCGTAACCATTCCTAGCAATGTAAATGCTCTATTTCTATAAGCTAGTAACTTGAACTAAATTGACAAACATTGAGTACAAGGTTCAAGTATCCCAAAGCGGATGCCCAATGAACACTACTGGGTTCAGAGTGAAAACAGAGTTGTTCCTGGAGCTCTGCTACATGGTTCAACTGAGGCTTTAGCCTCCATCTGAAAGGTGACAATGGCCTCGAATAAGATCATGCTAATGTAGACAATCTATATGTAAGGATCTGAGAGGACCACCTGGTTTTCAGTGGAACCCCAGTAATGAAACAGCATAGGAGATCTCCAAAGCACAACTGGAAGAAAATGAAGAGTGTCCCTGATTAAACATAGGGAAAAGGCTTTCTTAAGATTACCTTATGAGAAGGGAAGTAAAATATACAGATGAAACTCAAAAAATTAGAATATCGTGCAAAAGTTCATTTATTTCAGTAATACAACTTAAAAGGTGAAACTAATATATGAGATAGACTCATTACATGCAAAACAAGATAGTTCAAGCCATGATTTGTCATAACTGAGATGATTATGGTTTACAGCTCATGAAAACCCCAAATCCACAATCTCAGAAAATTAGAATATTCCATGCAATCAATAAAACAAGGATTGTATATAGAACAATATCAGACCTCTGAAAAGTATAAGCAAGCATATGTACTCAGTACTTGGTTTGGGCCCCTTTTGCAGCAATGACTACCTCAATGTGGCATGGCATGGAAGCTATCAGCATGTGGCACTGCTGAGGTGTTATGGAAGACCAGGATGCTTCAATAGCGGCCTTCAGCTCTTCTGCATTGTTTGGTCTCATGTCTCTCATCTTTCTCTTGGCAATGATTCTCTACGGGGTTCAGGTCAGGTGAGTTTGCTGGCCAATCAAGCATAGTAATCCCATGGTCATTGAACCAGGTTTTGATGCTTTTGGCAGTGTGGGCAACTGGAAAATGAAGTCAGCATCCCCATAAAGCTCATCTGCGGAAGGAAGCATGAAGTGCTCCAAAATCTCCTGGTAGATGGCTGCATTGACCCTGGACTTAATGAAGCACAGTGGATGAAAGATGACATAGCTCCCCAAATCAACACAGACTGTGGAAACTTCATACTGGACTTCAAACATCTTGCAGTGTGTGCCTCTCCATTCTTTCTCCAGACTCTGGGTCCTTGGTTTCCAAATGAGATTCAAAAGTTGCTCTCATCAGAAAAAAGGACTTTGGACCACTGAGCAACAGACCAATTCTTGTTTTTCTTTAGCCCAGGTAAGATGCTTCTGATGTTGTTTGTTGTTTAGGAGCGGCTTGACAAGAGGAATACGACATTTGAAGCCCATGTCCAGGATCCGTCTGTGTGTGGTGGCTCTTGATGACAATCCTCTCCAGGCTGGGGTCATCCCTGCTGCTTGTGCACCTTTTTCTTCCATGCTTTTCCCTTCCACATAACTTTCTATTAATGTGCTTTGATACATCCAATTTCTTTTGCAATTACCTTTTGAGGCTTTCCCTCCTTATGGAGGGTGTCAATGAAGGTTTTCTGCACAACTGTCAGGTCAGCAGTCTTTCCCATGATTGTGATTCCTACTGAACCAGACTGAGAGACCATTTAAAGGCTCAGGAACCTTTTGCAGGTGTTATGGCTTAATTAGCTGATTAGAGTGGGACACTTTGAGCCTAGAATATTGAACCTTTTCACAATATTCTAATTTTCTGAGATTGTGGATTTGGGGGTTTGCATGAGTTGTAAGCCATAATCATCACAATTATGACAAATCACAGCTTGCACTATCTTGTTTGCATGTAATGAGTCTATCTTATATATTAGGTTCACCTTCTAAGTTGCATTACTGAAATAAATGAACTTTTGCATGATATTCTAATTTTTCACCTGTAGTTATTTTTCCATGAATGTCACCTATACAGAGGGACAACTGGTACCAGTTTATATGATAGAAGAGCTCTCCTAATGCCTTCAGCACTATAGGTGAAATCATCAGGAAATAACTTCATGAACTACACAAATCTTACAGAAGCTCTCCTACAGTTTATCCCTATTCATTACGTGCAAAATTATAATTAGTTCTCATACAGATTAGTTTTTAATACAGTTTCATCACATATAGTTTTAAGAATAAAAAAATATTTAGCAAAGTATGGGTTACATGGCATAGAAGAGTACAATAATTTTTAATTAAAAAACAATGCTTACTTCATCTGTTTTACAATTGTGCTCTTCCCAGACTCTCCCGCACCTATAAATAAAAAGAGAATATCAGAAATGGGCTTTGATACTAGTAGTTGTGCTATATAAATTAAGATGTTAAAAATATGAACAAGGGTAAAATTTACAGTGTAATTTCCTTCATTGCAATAACCAACATCTTTCCGTTGCAAAATTTTAGAAATCTAAGATTTGGATTATTTAATACTACCTTGGATTCTAGCATTCCCATATAAATTATTTTTTAATGAATCGGATAATTGATCCAAATACCAGTGCTATTACTTTCATTTATTTCCAGTAATTATTTTCCCTTAGCCAATATCTGTTCAATTATATCTGAGAAATCCATATTATGGCTTATCTTCATTTCTCATTATGAACTGATGATAAGAGGGGGAAAAATCACAGAAAAGGAAGTTTCACAGGTCTGTTCAAGTGTCTAAAGAGAATTAATAGTTCTGGGTCTTGTCATATCCATTAGTAATTCTCACCAAATCAATCTTACATAAAGAAGAAATGTGGGAAGTCACTGTACAGGAATTAAATTCCTTATGACACAATAATTTTAGCTAGCAATATTCAAGTTCTGATTGATTCTGCTCAAACCTCTATTCCCACAAAATAAAGTTAGACATATTACATATGCAAAAACCTCAACTTATGACAGGTAATTTAATGACTGTTTGTGGTCACAATGGCCTCAGAACAGGTATTTTTTGGCACTTCTGATCTTTGTAAAATGTGACAATGCTTCAGATCATATGATTACATTTCAGGCCCTTGGAAATCTGTTTGCATTTACAACTGGTTGCCAAGTGTCCTGGATCATGTGATAGCCTCTTGTCAACTTCCCCAAAAAGTCAACTGGGGAACCAGCAGAAGGTTGGAAGCCTTTCTCAGTCTTTCAAAAATACCAATATGCGCTAGTGATTTTTCCCCTCTGAGGTGAGAAGAAAGCAATAGTGATCAAATGTCAGTTTTCGAAAAGCAGAAAAGCTGGTGTTCGCCCGCTGGTCATTGCCCTCTCTACCAGAGAGGCAGAATCACTTCCATTTAGCTTTTTTCTGCTTGAATTTAGAATTTGCTAGCTCAGGCAGCTTTTCAGAATGCTAGAAATAAGTTTTCTGAGGTAGTGAACATAAACAATTCCATCCCTCTGAAGGGGAGGAGAAAGAGCTAGTGAGCAATCACCAGCAACTGAAGTGACAGTCGCTCACTAGCGCTTTCCCTTCTACTCTGGAGGGCAGAACTGAAGTGTTTGCTAACAACCTGAAAAGCTCAAAATGGCTTCTGAACTTTCCAGAACACTCGCACATGCCATTATTCTCCCAAGTGCAATATGGAAAGGGCCTAGCCTCTTGAGTATGGTGGGAGGTTGGTACCCTCTCTCCAGCCCACCAAGTCCATGCCCTCTTACTGGTACTCCACTTAACCTGCTTAACAACTGCAGGTGGGACTGCAGTCATTGAATGAAAGTCACATGGTATCTCACTTAACAACAGCTACCCTCAATAATCCTGATTTGGGGCCCAATTCCAGTGGTAAATTGAGAATTACATATATCTATATTTTTAACTGACTGATGGTGTTAGGTGAAATAAAGTATACAAAATAAACTCATTACTTTCACCAATGAGGTTCATAATCATTGAAAAGAACATGAATGCATACCAACTCTAAAGCTCCGTTTTTTTTTAAAAAAAACCCACAGATAATTAAGTCTCCTCTGACACTTTCCCCAGTCTCTGCTACTGTCCTGGAATTATTTTCTCTGAATCAAGTGAAGTATTAGAAAATCACCAAAAGTAGACTGACAACTCACAACACTGCTCAGAATTGACCAAATAATCATTTTTAAACAAATTAGCTAGAAACTTTGGAGGACCAATTTTCAAATACCACCGTGACACAAAGCTCCTGAATGACTTTCTATCCTCATTTTACTTATTGAATTGTTGAGAGTCAACAAGGGAGAGGGATTTCCTACATTGCTTCAAGGTTCATGAAGGAAAACATGACCCCCAAACAGTGTAGAAATTCAAAAGTTTTGAAAAAAAATGGTTTTTGTTACCTTTGATCCAGGAATTATGAAGAACCAGAAGCTTCATCCACAAAAAAATCCCAATTTAAACTCCAGAAAATCTGGCTCTATTTACTAGTCTTGAGATAGACTGCTGAATAGAAGGTAGCTAGACTGATATATTTCTCTATTAGGTCTATGCTATTTTAAGATTTTACAAGATCTATTTTTCTAGCACAGGAAATACATATGTATGTCTGGTGACATTACAGCTTCCTTGGGAGAAAAGAAGGGGCTCCATAGCAAAGATACATGTTACTAATCAGAAAAAAAAAATAACTGTGTCTTATTAACACATTCACTAACAAGTTCAGATCTGCAAGCTGTTATCTACAAATGACCAGCTGTTTGAAGCTTCACAAAATATCACTAAGTTCCGGTCTTTCAGATAGGAGAGTTATCCCGCTAATCTAGTTGCTCTTAATTACTTCTGAATGTGTTAGAAATGTTATACAAGGAGAATTGTAACAAATTGCCACAATTATTCCACTAGAATTAATAGCCCCTATTTTGACACATGCAGTAGGGCAAAACTGACAAAAATTTACCTACATGTAAATCAGAATTACCAGTTGGCAGAATTTAAATATTCTCAATTTCATTGGGGATTGATTTAATTCCAAATTCAAGTCAAGCCACTTCTTTTTAGTCAGTCATACTTGCTAATTAAAGCCCAAAGAAAACACAATATGGTTGATTAAAGACAATTCGTTCCAGTTCTCATTAGCACATGAAGTAACAAGGACCAGTGCACAACTATACTATGTTCATTGTTTCTGGAAGTTAACACTGAGCCTTGAAAACTGGCTTAGAGTTGGAAGTTCTTAAACCCAAGAAAAAGCATTCAGGCAACTTAAGCAGCTGCAGCCTTGCTAGAAAACATCAAGAAAACAAAAGTGGGGAGTTTATGGTTCAGATTAGCTTTGGGTTCACTGAAACAAAATAAGGGATTACACAAAAATTGGCATTGGAAGCATTTTTTAAAACATTCTTCAAGTGAACTCTATTTTCCCAACAGTTTTTCTGAAAAGTATGAAATAACACTCTTAATGTGTTATGTACGTGGGAAGGCATGATTTGGTTGCCAATCTGATGTCCTTCCTTTTCTATATTTGGCTTATGTTCATCATTGCTGTGTGACCCATCTGGTAATATTAGAGTTATTTTCTAAGGTAGTATTACTAGATGAACTGTGATAAGAAAATATGCATATTCTACCTGTGCCTTCCTCAAGGACTATTATGACTCCCATCAAATTAATACTTTACATTTGAAAATGGCTGAAATATAGCATTCTGATTATTATGACACTGAAAACTTTAATGATACCTTTAGGCTTTTAAAAAATACATTTTGTAAATGTGACATAAGACCATCTATCTCTACCTATGACGGAGGTCTTTTTATAAAGTTTGGTAAGAAGAAATTGAGTTGTCTTTGTTTTTGGTTTAATAATCATCCAAGAAAAATCTTAATATGTGTCCATGTTGAAGAAACTGGCAGACTGGTATTCTTTAGGCAGCTTTCTAACAATCTTAATAACTTTGTAGCATTAGAACCTAGTTACAGGTAGTCTTCAACTTACAACTGGTTTTAAATTTTCCTAAACAGAAAGTTTCCAAGCTCAGGGCATGCTTGTATTTCCAAGCAGGTATGGAGACCAAAATCCCCCATCTCCTCATTCCCACAGATACAGAGAGAGAAGGACCCCAATGCCTGCCTGAACTGCAGCAGCCAAAATCCAAGCACAGACTGAGCTTAAAATCACTCTCTCGCTGCATCCTTGCCCATTCCTTCCTCTGTTTCTGGCCCTTTTGCTCTTGAAAGGCTGCCTACCAGGAGGGAATCTCAAGTCTATGCAGAGCTGAGATTTCCTCCTGGCAGGCAGACATTTCACTCTCCAAGGACTGCCTGCCAGGAGGGAATCTCAGCTGAGAGGGGTCAGCTCACCAAGGGCAGTCCCCCTTTCTGCTTAGGGACTGTAATTAGATTGCAATCAGCCACAGGGGCATCTCATTTAACTATCACTTAGCTCAACGACCAATATTTCAATCCCATTTGTGGTCATAATTGGGATTGAAATCTTGGGAACTGACTCTAAATGGATTCATGGTTGTTTGTTTTTTAATTGCACCAATAACATCCTCGTAACATTATAACAAGCAGAAGCCACAGGTTGTATAAAAGCTAAACAAATCATGCCACCAGCACTATACCATTAATCTCTCACCTGACAACCTAAAGAGCATTAACAACATGTATGTATACACAAATATCAAAGGATATTTGTGTGAAAATACAGACAAATCATTTGTATGAAAAGTCTCAATCCTGGCAAACTTGATTCCTGTAAATGTAATTTTCATAACAACAGTGCCAAGCTTTCTTCTCCAGTCTTTTAAAAAACCTTCCAGTCTAGTATTGTTGATAAGTAATCTATATTCACAGAATGTGTTTATTTATTTAACAGTGATTCTGGGTGATTAACAAACTTAAAACTGAACTCATAAATGAAAAGTAGGACAGAGCAAAAACAGCTTCTTGGGTTGGCACAAGATCTGTTAAGCTGTGTATTTCAAGGCTTTAGGAAGAAAGACCTTTTCTTTAAAGAGCTTTGCTGAAATGTTACCCACCTGGTCAAAGCAGGAGTAAACAGAGGGTTAGTCTAAGGAGAAGAAATTTATCATAATTTTACTGCAACCTCTTTCAAAGAAGGGTTCTGCCAGAGAAATTTTAAATTACCCATTTCTTTATTTGTGACAACTGATTATAGTACATCTGGAATACCAAGAATACCATATCCTATTCCAGAAGTTTTCCCTGTAAATTGCTGGACATCCTTATAACTGCCAGATCAATGTGCTGTTTCCTATTTCCAACTTTAGCATTCCAATCTTCAATCACAAGTAGCACACCTTGCTTGTATGTTCAGTCAATTTCAAATTGAA